AGTAGGCTTAGCCAGGGAGACAAAACAAGATTTGGGCCTGTTTGTTTGCTGCACCCCAGCCTCAAGTCCAAGTGTATCATTGAAAATGTGTTTTATTATAACACATGTCATGCTTTACAGTTCCCATATTGTGTGAAGACAATGGTTAATGGTACATTAAAGACAGGCAAACCATGCCAACAAGTCTTGGAGACATTGTGAGGGCCTCTCTCTTTGCTTGTCTTAGGCAGCTGCAACCCAGGACCCAGCAGCACAAAAAGAACAAGTTTGAAATACCAGGTGCATCCTAGAGAAGCACGACAGGGATTGATATGTTATAGCCCAGGACATGAACCTAGCAATAAAGATATCATTTCGATTGTCTGCGGCTTCCACGGCCTGTAAAGCCGGGAGGCCCTGAGCAGCCTGCTTTCTGGCAGCTCTGTCTCTCTCCCTGGGTTTCCCCATCTCCCTGGGCCAAATCCGAACACCTGTTGGCCAGACCTCACATCCTGTCGTGGGAATCGTTTCCTACCAGTGGTTCCAGATCTCAAACATGCAATTGGTGGTGGAATTATTTAGGACCATTCCCACAGGCTGCAGAAGGCTTTGGAAAGGCAGTGGGAGGGGAGGGCGAGGGAGAGAGGGAGGGTGAGGCCTCTTCCCAGAGAGGTTCGCCAGGGAGTACTCAACTGGTGTTTGTTCAACCTCGCAGCTGGTACTCGGTGCCACCGCACAGGCCCATTAATGGAAATGGGATGAGTTTATGGATTTAAGAGGCTTCACACCCTCTCCACGGAGGGGCGTTAATCCTGCTCCTGGCAGATGAGCAGTCCTGGGAATCACACGCAGCCGATTTCACAGGAGTTCCCACAAGGCCTTTTATGCGCTCTGCTCCCAGCCTGGGGTGGGAGGCTCGCTCTCTTTCCCACCTACTGTTTCTGCCTGCAGGACCTATGGGCTCTAGAATTCAGCACTTCAGGAGAGTTTTGAATGAACCCACAGTGTCTGCCCCATGGAAGGAAGAGGCTCCACAAGGGGGCTCCGTTTCAGAGGCCATGCTGCTCAGGGTGCAGAGATGGCTCCCCTCTTTCCTTTTGGCCCCCACTCCCCTTTTTGCTCCCCTCTCCCTTTTGGCCCCCTCCTCCTTCGAAGAGCCACCTCCCCTCATAACTAAAAGTTCCCTTAGGAAAAAAAAAAGGGAAAAGGAATGGTGCCTACACTTCCCAGCCTCTGAAACTAGACAGCCATCCTTTTTTGTGACGTGGACTATACTTTCAGGAGAGAGGACCCGACCCACCTGCAAGGGAGAGAGAGGGAAGGGGATGAGGGGCACTGATGAAGTAGGGGGCGCTCTGATTCAAAGGAACAGTGGCAGGACAACGGAGGATGGAGCCAGGCAGGATGGGCTGGAATGGGAGATGTGTGTTTGGTGGGAGGGCGTGTGTTAGAGGGGAAGGAGAGGGCACCCATGCAATCTCTGTTCTGGTAAGACTCTGTCAAACCCTTTCCAGTGCTCCTTGCCCCCACAACTGCCAGCAGTGGAGTCTGGACCCCTGGGGAAAGATTTAGCCAGCTCTCCACCAGAGATCAAAAACGCACTGCAGTACAGGGTCTGCAACCTCTTTATTATGCTAAACGGACAAGACCAGTCAGAGCCCACTTTAAACTCACATATATATGTATCCCTTGGTGGTCTCGGGCTGGGTTTCAGGGCCCAGGCTGTTGGGGGTTCAGAAGAGCTGGGCTGGACACAGGCTCTCCATAGCAGTCCCTGAGTTCTGTTTACTCCATTCTTTTCAAAATACATTTTTGGTTGAGTTGGAAGAAAAATGTTAACTTAGAAGGACCGCTGAATATCTGTCATTCAAACTGCCCCCACATGTCCCTTCCAGTGCCAGGCTGTATGGACGGGCCAGAGATGCCCCAGGCCAGAGGCGCTCCTGCCTGGCCCTGCCACAAGAACCACTCCTGCACCCTGCACCCGCAGCTCAGGCTCCTTGATGCCAAATGAGGCTCTGAAATGATACATTTGTTCTTCTTTTACTGTGGCATTTTTTTTAAAAAAAAGAATTGCTACACTAGAATGAATGGATTATGAGTAAATAAAAAGAAGCTGTCAGTCTCTTTGAAGGTCGTGCTTAAAGGGACTTGCCAAGTCAGGACAGAAGAGTGACAAGATAGAGACCCTGGTGTTTTGCATGCTCAGCTCGGCTCTTCCGCTTCATCTGCACCGCACTAAAGGATGTGTTGAGGCATTGACTCACACAAAAAAGTGGCACGCAAAATAAAAGGTACCACATCACAATGATTGTAGTGTTTTAACTGTGGAGTGCCACCGTGCCCAATGCAATGGAAAGACAGGTCCACGCAGCCCAAGAAAACGGTAGAATACTTCCATAACTTATAATTAAGCCGAAGTCTGCCTAACATTTGACTTTCTAATGGGCGTAATGAGATTACATGCCTGATGGAAGCATTTGTGTAAAAGCAACTTTCATGTTTAATGAGGCCCTAATACAGGGCAAAATTGAATTATTTTCTCTCATTCTCAAATTCTGTCTCCAGTGTGAAATCATCTTTTAGGGGGAGGAGCGAGAGCGAGAGCGAGAGCGAGAGAGAGAGAGAGAAGAGAGAGAGTGAGAGCGAGCGAGAGAGCGCAAAGGCTGAAAGGGGTGAGAGGGTCCATGGCCAAGAGCCTCCTGGGAGCCTCGCGACCCAGAATCTCCGCGTGTCTGGCCAAGCCGCGCTGCGGGGTCGGGCTCCCGGCCTCGCTTTAATTGCTCTTGGACGAGATCCATGGCACCCGCGGCGCGCGGGGCACCCCTCGGTGGGTCTGAAACTAGGTTAAAGCAATTAGCATGCTGCCAACATATTGTCTTCGGCAGGGCGGTGGGTACTGGGGAAGATTCGCGATTATACCTTGGTCGACCAAGCGAATGCTGCTGGACAGAGGAGCCGCGCGGCGCCTTGGCCTGGCCTGCGCACGCCGGGAGCGTTTCCGCGCCAAGGTGCGCATCTTCCGCTTTGCGTATCTCGCCTCCCCGCGCGCACTGGGCCTTGCCACCCACTACCCCGCGTCCGGGCTCTGGCCCAAAGGTGAGGAGACCTGAGCCGCAGGGGGGCAGAGAAGCTGGAGCCGGCCTTTTTGGCTGAACGACCCCGATCGCGCTCTTGCCTTCTCCCCTTCGCTAGGGGGCAACACTGCGTCCTTCCCTCCAGGCTCTCTTCGTCTCCCCAGGGTGCCGGGCCTGGAAGATGAAATTCTGTTGGAGGCAAAATGAAATTTAAAGTAACCCTGCAGACCTGGCAGGGAAGCGAGCGGGCTCCTTCCAGCCTTACCTAAAAGGCACTGGATTTTGCTGAGAGGCCTCCGAGAGGTCTCCAGGTTTCAGCACCGTCCCCTGCTCCATCTCCGAAGGAAGTACGTCTGAGTTCTAGGTATGATGTTGTAACTGCTGAAGGGGCGGGTCATGGTTCAGGAGCAACCCTTTCTCCTTAGCCCACGGAAGCAGAAAGGCCCCTTCCCTTGGCCAGCTAGAAGCCAAGCCCTGCTCCCCTGGACGCAGTTCACTTTGTACACCAGGAGTAGGCAGGGTGGAGGTGACTCTGGGTAAATCAAGCAACATATCTGAGCCTTCGCTCTCCCCTCCGGAAAACGGGAGTCATAAGTACTGCAGGGCTTATTTGCCGCATAGGACATTCGGAAGGTAGAATAAAATCCAGGCAGAGGTGTTACCATTTGGGGCAGGTGGAAGTTAGAGTCTAACTATCTTTCCCGACTCCTTTCAGGCTAAACCTAAATAAAACATGGGTTCTTACTAGACAGGGACAGTTTGAGTCTCTGATTAAACATTTTAAAGTTAATTCTTTGAAAAGGTACAGTTATTCCCACCATGTACTAAACAAATAACTTTTTTTTTAAAAAAGAGGTAAATAGCATTTATTAACAACGCTTAGAAATAAACCATATCTGGCAATAAATAATCAAGGCGTTTTCTGGCTGGAGTTCTTCCAGCAACACAGAGTTCATTGGGCTGGTAAACTATTGCATATTTTTTTAGAAAATCAGGATAAATTATATAAATTATATATTTTAAGAGATCATCTATTTCATTAACTCAACAAGGTAATAAATAGATAAATAACAGTTGATTGCCATGAGAGAAACGTACTTCTTAAATTACATTTACAGTATAGATGTTCACATATACAATATGCACAAGGACAAAACCAGATCCTCAGCCGAGTCTGGGACTCCTCAGGACACAAATTCAAAGGGCGGTTCGTTTTCTATGTTGTTGAAGGAGGATTTGCTGTTGAGTTTTCTAGGGTCCTCTGGGGTCCACACTTTGGCTGTTCGGATAATATTTTGTTCTTTGAGTTGTTTTTCATCAGTCCATGAGAGAGAGTGTCCTGCGAGGGGAGGAAGGCCATAATCCGGGTCGCTGGGGGAAGGGGACCCTGAGAAGTAAAAGAAAACAAGACTGTAAACAACCAACCTGATACCCAAACCCCCCTCTGGTCTTTTAGGATCCCCTCAGAGATGCCCTACTGGGCCAGCGTCTTGTTGGTACTAGAAGAGCCCTCTTCCTCCTCCCTTCAAGTCTCAGCACCCCATCTCCGGAATCCCAAGAGCTGCAGCCCAGGACGCGCGCTCTGAGCGGAGCCCAGGTCAGACCTGAGGACAAAACCTGACGAATGCCTGACTCGCGCTCCGGGTTGCCGGAGCCCACCGACGACCCCAGTCAACTCCTCAGTCTGTTTTCCCTGCCCTCTGAGCCTTTCGCGTGCCTGTCCTGGCCTCCCAGAGCTGGAATGTGGACGCACTTACGGGTGCCCCGATGGCAAATGATGACCTTCTGGGCCTGGCTGCCCGGGCTGTCTCCTCCCAGGCGCCCGACACCGCCCGGGCCCCCGCAGCCCCCCGCCACGCCACCGCGCAGCGGCAGGTCGGCCTGCACCAGTTCGCTGAGGGAGTTGATGTAGCCGATGGCCAGGCGCCGCGGGGTCCCCTTTGG